TAAGTAAGTAAGTAAGTATGTACGACAAAACGCTACAAGTCTTATAGTTCATAAACACAATTTGGTCTCGTGTGCTGTTGCGGGTATGAGGGCGGTTGTCACTTCCCGGCTACACACACCGTGGAAGGTTGTTTCTTGAGGGACCTGAAAAGGAAGATAGATTAGTGTGGGTCTTGGAGACCTGGGTGCGTGACCGCAGTAGTCCTAATGGGGAACTAACTGGTTTAGGAGGCCGGTCACGCACGGCCCTTCCTTAAATGAAAGGGCTTTTTGGAGTGTTAGCTCACGTCTTGGGAAAGCCTTCATTGGGCACCCTTACCCAAGTGAGGGACGGAAATCCGTGAGGTAGGGTGAGGTGTGGGACATTTTGACGGGCCGACGTTGTTTTTCTAACCCTTCTTCCTTGTAGAGAAAAGGCAGCATCGCCTGTCAGATTTCTGGGTTGTCCGAGGGAAACACCTTACTGCTGTCACATCCCTCCATCACAGTCAGTCAACAGTACGACTTCGCCCTCAGACCTTGAGTAGCTGCTTTTAGTTTCATCGTTCTCCAATCGACCTGCCTGCTGGCATGGTAGAACCTTCAGGAACATAAGTTGCAGCGAATATAGCTCACTTGGGTCATCACGATAGGCAAGCCCAACCACCGCGTCAAGGCAGCAGCTTCGGTCGGTATGGCAACATGAACTTATGTACATACGTACGAAGTTCTACGTTGCAACTAACTGACTGAGTTCATAAACACACTAATATTGGTTCAGTAAAGCAAAAACCGATAAAAAGTACAATTGGTCCTTAAGATCACTGACAACTACCTATTTGGGTTTGCTAAGCTTTACATATCATGCTTTTGTAAAGAGATTTTCTTCTCACAATCTATTCATTAATGGACATTTAATAATTCAGTTTCAATTGTGAATCTAGCTATACAAGTCGTTTGGTACACATTTTCTAAACAATCACACAGATAGCTAATACATAACTACGAATGGATGATGGTTAGAGTTAGAGAGCTAACTGAAGAAATATGAGAACTGTAAACTACGAAATTTCATAAACTTACGGTGGTAATCTTTGAAACAACAAGTAATATGGTCATTTTTTGATACGTTTCACATCGATACAAAATGTTTTTGAAGCTCTGAAAATTTTGGTATTAACAGTTGAAACTACTGACTAGACAGAGCAAAAACCAATGTGAAGAAGTGGCATGAAGCCCCTAAACTCCTGAGAAGACTGAGGCAGGCGCGGTAGATTGTATTACGCAAATTTACACTCAGTCAATTAAAAACGAAAACATTACATTGAACGCTCTATTTGCACACCATCTTTGAGTCCTGACTTCCAACGCTCCAGCCTTCTTCTATTCCTGCTGTTGCTTCCTTTTCTTCCTCTGTTGGTACTCCATTTACTTCTTGCTTTTGCTCCATTTGCTTTCCGTTTTCCTCTTGTGACCGTGAGACTTATTCTTTCACGTCCCTTCTTATACTACTTATATCGTTCGTGTAAGTAGAACACCACACCCCGACATTTTCAAGTCATACATCAAAAAAGATGATACACAAATAAAACCTATTCTAGACAAACTTTCATGTCAAGAAATAAAATATGCATACTCACCTGTATAAAATTTCTAAAAGTTCAATGTTTGACTATTAATTTCAATGGAATTTCAACTCTAACCTACGACGAAGAGCCGTGTCAATGGCAATATTTATCTAAAATGACTTATTTGGTTGTTTTAACCCTGAAAACTACTTGAATAACATCTAATTACTGCTTACACGTCTACTACCTCTACCATTATGAGATTTGAATCGACAATTGCGCATCTGTGTGCTATCGTGGTATGGCAACTTGAACTTGGAGCAATTCTCTTTTACATTACGGGGTTGTGAAGATTGTTTGTTAAGTTACACGCTTTTGCAACCATGAATCGATCAATGTTAGTTAGATCACCATTAGAAACCTGGACGGCCGTTTCGCCCTGGTATGGGACTCCTCAGTAGTGCGCATTCACGACTCCTGCACCCCACAGGATTCGAACCCAGGACCTTCGGTATTGTAGGCGAACGCCTAACCATCGGACCACTGAGCCGGTATCTAAGTCGTCCCATACAGGGATGAAACGGCCGTCCAGTGCTTCCAGGTATCATCTAATGGTGGTCTAAAATTCTGTTTTAAACACAAACATATAAATTTTGAGCTTAAGTTTTGTTGCTAGACAAGGGTATTATTATTATTCTAGTTGTGAAATTAAGTTTTTAAATGGAAACTTTAATACAAAACAAAATTTCATACTCAAAAAGCTAATCCATATGTGTAGAAAAGTGTGAAAGTTTAATCAACTAAGCTTTATATTTATTAAAAGCATTGATTTCGAATGACATTCTCTGACAGATAAATAATACACAATTCATTTTAGTTGATAAAACGAATGTGTCGAAAATTATTCTCATAGAGTAACTACAATTCATATTAAAAAAATTTTATTGAAGATGTTTGTTTGCATATTATATATATTGACCGGTAACAAAATTCATTATAAGGAGCTTCATTAGTAAAAAAAACAAAAACATTATTTACAAATAACTAAGAATATTGCAAATTCCCATGACTGGATAAAATTAAAATGGAACATTTTTCGCAGCAGTTGCCTTTTGGACAATATTTTGACCTTCTCTTTTTAGAACAGTTAAAAGAGTTTGAGAACTCTCTAGGATCTATAAAAGGAAAGTTACAGTAATAGAAACAGTAATACAAACCTTCATATAAGCTGCTTCAGACTCTGTAATTGTTCTATCATATTCATTTCGTGCCGAAAGTTTTTTCTCTAACGATTCATTTACTCGACTAAGCTTTTCATTAAGAATGTTTATTTCTCTTTGAAGTTTAGCACGTTCAGTTTCATCTTGTTGAATTTGTCGTTGTAAATCTTCTCGTCTTTTACAAAGTTCTTCAAAGCCTATAATTTAAATCAATGTGAAAGTTATGCCATACATTTTACAAGTTCGTTATTGTAGTTTTGAAGTGCGGCTCCTTGATGAGACATGGAATTGAAAAGTCTAGCTGTTGTCGATAGGTTGAAATCTAGGATTCAGACACGTTTCTACCTAAAGAAAGCTCTTAAATTTGTGCAAAAGAGCCTGGAATGGAAAAGAATAACGGAATATGTGGATGCGTTCGGTAGGCATAAAGAGTGAACTAACAATAACGAACAATAAAAAGGTGTAAACTTGAGGTAGTCCAGTAATCCAAACTATTGCAATGATAAATATATTCTTGAAAGTATTAACTCGAGATTCGAAAACCTACATGTTATTCTTTAGGATACATGTGCAGCAATAACAAACTTGGGTGACAATATAATCTGTCATAGCATAGGCTTGAGCAGCGTAATTGTCCACGTAAAATTGTAATTGAAATCTCAAACCTGCACTTTTATTGATCATCTGAAGAGGAACTGGGAACGCTGGATACATATATTCAGCAAGAAGATATGAGGGATGAAATTATAGGTTTAGATGGCCATGACTTCGCGGTCAATAAAGGATGCTTCAGAAACTTCCATGCGCTACATTAAGTCTATTCTCATGATACCTGATGTTGCTAGGTACTTCATCAAAGAGAGAATTTCATGAGCACAGTCCTTACAGCAGCACACGAAGTGTTTTCTTTATTCATAAGCTTTAAGTGCACTGAAGTCAAGGTTCTTATAGTCATCACTCACAGAAAAAGAACTCTCAAAATTATATGACGTTGCAACGCAAGGGTATTTCTAAGATATGAGATAAATTACGAGAAAGTCATAAAAAGCCATGATAATGTGAAGGGCAATTAGAAATGAAAACCCTCCAATGCTGTTTTATAGGTTGACGGTTGTGTTAAGTGACACCACCCCAAGTCTCAATTCATGTTGGCAGTTGTTTATAATATGGTAGCTAGACATTGTCGTAACGGTTAATACTCCAATTTTGGGATCCAAGGAATAGCTTTATTGATTCCGAATGTTTGCACTTAAGTTATGATAATCCGCAAGTTTCAAAAACTGCTTTCACTTAGGGAAAATGCTTTTCTAATAAAGCTTTCTCTTACTATGCATTTACTTCCCCATTTACATATGTGATTGTAGGTGAGTATAGTGGAAGTGTGCCTGATTTCATTCGTAGCTAATAATTAAGAAATATTCCTAAAGCCTGACGTATTGCCTGTTATTTTCTATAGATGTTTGTAAGTGACGGTTGGGTTTTGCACTTGCAAAGATATGACGGTCATCTGTCTGTGATTGAAGTACTCCTAAACCATGACTTAATTCTATATGAATAAATATCAGTAAATAGGTACAGTTGTTCAAATCTAGTCGACTGTATTGAAGCGTTTGTTTTGTGATCGAAATAAGAATAAACGTAAAATACATTTAGGCTAAAAAAATACGATCGTGGACAAATTAATCTAGATGTCGGAGAAAAGTAGATATTCCAACATAAATTTAGACTAAATACCAAAGGATTCAGTGACATGTCGATAAAAGGTGACAAAAGGAGAAATACAGAACTATTTCCCTATGGATATCAGCCGGTTTTCCCCTTTATTTCCATTCAGTCTGAGACGAAGGGAAATCCTGTCTCTCAGAAGCGTTTCAACAAGATATACTACTGAAAACTGATCAAAATTAATAAGATTTTACGAAAGTCAAGAGAGTGGATTAGAGTGTTAGAAAACGACCCATCTCAGAACTAACTATGGAGTACATGTGAAATGTCCAAAATACTGGAAGTAAGGTGATTAAAAATACCATATAGTTTCCTCAAAAATCTAATTTAAAGTTCAAAGCCACCTATTTCGTTATAGCGAACACTGTACGAAGATTGATGCAATTTGCATGAAAAATATGGGGTAACATTCAGTCACGCCTGATTCCTAATACAACCCTTATATCTGTAAAGCTGATTGTTAGGACTTCTCACCTTCCTTCCGAAAGATCTGAGGAGATTTAGGGTAATCTGTCAAACTGAAAGGACACAATCTCGAATTCTCACCGGCGGTAGAGCAAACCACGCGCTACCATTGCCATGACGCTCACCAAGATATTTCAATATCCAATATATCTACAATATTTTTCACGAGCTAGTATAAACCAGTGGATTTACTTTCGCCCAGTTCTTGTGTTTCTGTATGGTTATAGGTATTCAGTGACGTTCTCTGAATAGTAGTCTATTCACTTTATAGCCAGTTGGCAATTATATGTGAATTTGTATGTCCTGGGATTTAAGTTAGTGCATTATTTTCAGAGGAGTAGGGTTTATGGATTCCATAAACCATTACATTACCAAACCGAAGATCAGTTGGTTGCACTGAGGAGAATAATCGGGAGGAAATTATGAAGCTAGTGCGAATTCAGAATTAAGTAAATTAATAAGTCATTAAATTGATAGTGAAGATTGTGTGAAAGGGAAGAAGTGTAATCGAAGAAGGAGAAGCAGAGATAGCAAGCGAGACAGAGTAATTTAGTTATCTGAGGAAATGGCTATAATAACAACTAGCAAGTTTCGAGGCCTTCATCAGGCACATCTGGTTCAAGAGGAAGATTATAATCACTATATGAGTACACGTTCATCTTGTCTCTTCTTGGTGCTGTAATGAAACCTTTCTTCGAAGGAGACGAAATCAATTAAAATAAAACATATATTATCGAACTCGTTTTGTTTAACTGTACTAAAAACACTTACTTATGCGCAACCTATTTTTTGCGTTGCTACCATCATTCATAACGGTGAGTCTATTATTCATCTATCACCAATTTTTAATGTTGAAAAACAATCAGTAATGTATTTTAATCTATATTATAATTGCAAAAAAGTTTTTAAATGATAGATAGCTATAATAATAGACTCTGCGGTGTAGGTCATTGCATTTGCACCTGTCTCCTCCCCGTCACTTCAGGTTGTTAGCTAATTTTATGTGCACGATATTTGCACTAACGCTAAGTGCCAAAGTTTATGTTGTATCGTTTGGTAGCAGCAATTCACGAGCTACAATGCTTCGAATACGCGCTATGAATGGCTCTGTCATTCCAACCTACGGTACATGATAGCTTACGCTGAACCTGGATAATCGACGACAGTATCTATGGACGTTCATCCTTGCTGATGTTCCCATAGCCGTATCGATCCCTATAAGCTCTATGAATTGCTATTCGATTCACGTAGGCTGCAGTTAATCGACACTTCGTCGAACATCAAATCAAAGGGTTTTAACGCGCAAACATACATGTACCGAATCATCAATATAAAATTTGCATCATTATTTATATCATGTTATATTTGATAAATTCACCTACATAACTAAGCTCAGGGGATTCTATCGGTGATTATTAATATGGTAAGTCACATTGTCAACTACAGACGTCCAGTCATGGCTAGTGCTCGCCAACTGCCACTGGACAAATCAGTTTTCGCTTAGCCATATGTATTATTTCGTCTATCCCGCAGCCCTTGGGCCTCTCTCCACTCGGTTCGCAAAATAGATGGCTTTGGATGGAGACCACACGCCGACTACAGTGCAGAGACGGCAGATATCCAATTTTCCGCCTATGAAATTGTATACAGCACAACAATGCATCTAGCTGAAGAATTTTTTCACACCAACGAGCAGCCAATTTATGTATATCAGATAACGTCCAACGACTATCTGCGTAGATGTGCATACTACCTCCAGTGTGAACTCGGATAAAACATCGGCAGGTTGCTCTTCCTGGAGAGTTATTTACCTGTCCATATGCTTTGACAGCAGTAGATTCGGTACGCAAACCTTTGCAACAGCCTTACGAAGGATCTTTTCACGTGATCCCTCGTCACGAAAAGACCTTCAAGGTTGATGGACATAGTCATCGCGGCGAACGCCTACCTGTACGCTTTTGTAACTAACCACCCATCATCAACGGATACGGCATAGGAGATTATCCTCATACTATATGCATGATACATCTTTCTCTTTTTCTTTCTTTTTGTCACAAGCAGACGTCTCCGATCATCTCCCTGTTGGTACCGTCGACTTCAGTCAATCTTGGCGAAAGCTGGCCTGATCACCCACGCTGTCGTCAATGCAGTCAGTTGGTGTTCTGGTTCGAATATATGTGGCATACGAGTGGTTTCGTTTATGGCTTCTTCGCTCAATCCGGTACCGTCCTAATGCTGCGACATTCCCTGGTCCGAACCCTTACGAACGCATACTTTAGACATCCGTTAATAAGTACTTGTTACATGTAATAATAATAATAATAATAATTTATTCTCAAATAACAAACATGTTACAAGAGACATGCCAATTTACAGGCAAGATCAAAATGTTAAGATTAGCAACATATTTTTTTTAAAACGGTATACAGTTACTGAAACATTTCACAAGATTCATTGTTTTCTTAAAGATGGAATGTACAAAACGAGTAATTGGCTCAAGTTACGAAGGTTGCGTTACGACAATCATCTTATGGACTGAGAAACGATTCATGGTACAGATGGGTTTTCATATAACAAGAATTGATGCGGTAAATGTCCAAAGGTCTGGTTGATATTCGTCAACTAATGATTTCACATGTTCTTGGGTAGGGTAACGAAGTCTACTGCAAATATCCAGACTAATATATGTGGATTGGGTATAAGGTTCTGAAAAAAGAGGAATAAAGAAAACGGGACGAGGAGCAGAACAGAAAATATTCATGTTCAAAGCCGAACAGTGGCTTTGCACATACGTTTATGGATAAAACAAAGGTATGTTTACCCAAACATTTTTAATATCAGAACACTTTACACCTGCGCTTATGTAGGTTAATGAAGACAATTCAGTAGTGAGATAACTAATGAGAAGTTAGTCGAAAGAATCGAGGAAATTCAAAAGAACCAAGTTGTTAGTAATAAAGTTGATTTACAAAATATAATAAAGAGGATCAGTGATATGATTTTTTGGTTTTATTTATTCTTTTTATTTTTAACTCTGAGGCTCAAGAAGTTATGAATGAGCTCTTTTTTAGTATAGTTGTCCAGACCAGCTTGTAATAGGATTTCTCGGTAGGAAGTAAAAACCAGTGCAAGGTTACAGACATGGGTTGTAGACGAGGTTAACTAGGAAAAGTAACATCAATATCACTGATTTGTTACATCCTGCTATATCGTAAGGAGCCGTAAGCAAACAAAATGTTCTGCCACACAGACATGGGTAGATTGAGGTTATCGCCCCACCGTCATGAATGCTGGTCAGATACAGCACCCTCCCTCCTTTTTTGATGTTAAGCTCTCTTACGTTTAATGGTTAATTGTAAATAATGGTCTGTAGTCTACTCTCAATTTTTTTTTGTACACCTAATCGGAATTAACATTCTATACTAGCTCCAACATTACAAGCAATCCAGACAACTTTGTCAGACAATATATCCGCATAGCATATCACACTGATTTTAAGTAAACGAATGGTATGATTTGTAAGATGAGTCAATCAATGGGTAGTTTGGAAATAGGAAGGACAGGGAGCTGGAACGAGGAGAAAGTGAAAAAAAGAGTTGAAATAATGTTAAAAATTAATGAGTAAAGCGATAAGTTGGTAAGCAGGCAAGGTGTTTGGATGTTAATGAATTGGAGAAACAAAAATTAGTTAAACTGTTAATACTTAAATAAGAAGATACTCACAATGATACACGGTGTTTGAGTTCATTGTAATTGACAGTGGTTGATCAGCATCTACAGGCTTTTCAATTTGTCTGTCTACTAGAAATAAAAACTAAAACTGCTTTGAAGATAGGAAAATAATAATCGGAATTTAAATTCAGAGAAAAGTCACGGGTAACACTTCAAAGGCGTAACCTATTACTGTTAGTAGGAGCAGGCGGATTCGTCTATCATTTCATGATACATGTATGGGTGGTAATGAGAACACAATGTGTTCATAGTCTATAATTCGTTTCCGAGGTTCATCTAAATATTTGGTGGACCATAAAAGAGTGCCTGGGGACTTTGTGTGAGTTCCGGGAATAGTCGGTATATCTCTTTAGAGTCTAGCAACAGCATGACTAGTTTCTTGAACTAAGTGATTGTGTCACAAATACGGATAGTAATTGGTAACCTGTTCCACAGTAGACTGTATCGTATTACAAAGAAATTACAACGCAATAATTTCTTGTGTTTTGCCGTTAATAGTGTATATGCGTTGTTTCTAAGTCTGTAAGCAGTGTCGTGGTTCATAGTTGGGCGGTACTTAAGTTATCAAGATCACTCTGAATCTTAGCTATATTTTCGTCCAGATCTTCAGGCTTATAGCTGTATACTATTTTCAGATCATCAGCATATAAGTATGCTCTTCCAAATTTTATAGTATTACATATGTCATTCATGTACATTAGAAACAAGAGTGGACCTAAGACACTTCCCTGGATAACCCCACTGGTTATTGGTCTTGGTGATGAAAGACAGTCGTTGTACTTTATCATTTGTTGTCACCCATTTAGGAATGAAGCTATTTATGAGTGTAGTGGGTTGATGTTTCCAAATGACTTCAGTTTAAGTAGAAGCCTTTTGTGTTGGACTTTATCAAATGCCTTTTTAAAATCAAAGAAAAGGACTGATACCAGAAGCCCTTTGTCTTCTTTATTCGTGATATCGTTGAAATAATCTAACAGACATGTATCACACGACCTGGACCTCAAGAACCCATGCTGTGAGGTCGATATTAGATTGTTCCGAAGTAGATGTTGTAGTAACTCTGCCTTAACTATTTTATGCATAACCCGAGATATTACCGAAGTTATGTTTATAGGTCGGTGGGTCGCTGTAGGCCCAGATTTTATTGTGGGGATGATATGTGTACTCTTCCAGTTATTAGGGTAATATAGTAATATAGTAAATAGTTTGAGAAGAATAGCACTCAGATCATTGCTACCATTTTTTAGCATGCTGGCAGGGATGCCATCTGGTCCTTCAATGTAAGAGTGCTTCAGTGTAGTAATCACCTTAGAAATGTTCCGTACACTAAATTCAACACTGACGATTTCACAGGAAGGAGTTTGGGTCAGGTGTGACTCATTTATT